AAGACAAAGATCCAGAGCAAATACTTGGACAACAAATATTTTATCAGAGTTTTTTGTTAAATTATCATGTATTTTTAGGACCATCGTGTGTTTTTTTGTCAATGTGTGTGAGTGTATTTTTTCCTTTGTAATGTTTTTTTAAGTTTATATGATATTTTTTAATTTACCAGTTTAATGAAATTATGTTTTAATAATTTGTATGTGTTTTAGATATATGACATAAATAGAAAAAATAAAACAAATTAGACATATATGAAGTAAAAAAAAAACAAATTAGAATAATAGAAATTAAAAACATTCAAAAAATAAAATAAAAATAAGAAATAAAAAATAATAGGTGTTATCCCACATTATTTGGTGTTGCCCATTTCCATTTTAAGTGTTATAACACCAAATTGTGATTATAATGATAAGGTGAACATTTTTGGTGTGGTAACATATAATAACATGTTACCCACACCAATGGTTCTAAAAAGCGCTCCATTGCGTGCTTCAAGGCGTGTCATGATGCTAAACGTGGTGTAGCCGTTACGAAAACGTCGAAGACGAGTTTGTGAAACGTGACGCCCAAATAACATGTCAATGTGCACCTTATCGCGTTATGGCGTAAGTTTTTTTTAAGGCACGGTTTTTTTATTTTATTTTATCGGGCTTAAAATAAATGAGTTTTTGTTAACTTTTTTCTATTAGATATTAATATAACACTTCTAAAAACTTCATATATTTGATAAAATTCAATAATTATATGATTTATATCTTTTAATGTATATAATGTAGTCACGTCTTGAAAAACGTTATGGCTCATCAAAGTTTATCATGGTTTAATTTTTACCTTACCGTCAAACCACGCCTTATGTTATTTAGAATTTTACTCACACCTATTAATCTTAGGAACATCAATGTTAACTAAATGGGCTAGCTTAAACTCGTATCTTAGCCAATTTCTATCTACAAATATTTATTTAAAAAAAAAAACAATCAGCACCAAAAGTGATGTTGACTTTTACATGCATATGAAATTTCGTAAATATTTGTTAGAAGGACATAACTTGACGTCACTCCTTTTAATTTTTTTGGAAAATCTTTTGAGTTAATGATTTACATATAAAGTCAATTTTCCATTTTAACAATATGTGTCAACAATTAGATAATTTTGTGTTAAGAATAAGTGGCGAACGTAGGAATACATAGTAAGTATTGTCGAGACGAAATAGGTGTTACTAATACATGAAAAATAGGTAAAAAAAAAAATCAAAATTTTTTCCACTGCAGATAGAAAAAACATGTGTTACCGATGCAACACTGGGACCTCCCTAAAACCGTCACCGCTAACAATTAAGTAATATCTATTGATTCGACAGCCATTATTTTTAGCATTAAATCGAAGTATTTATGTTATTAATAACACATAAAAGTAATTTCAAATAAACATAATAAATTTCTCCTGGAGGTGACGGGTTCGAGCCTTGCTTGGACCAAAATGGTGAATTTAGGTGTGCGGAAAGGACGGCGGTGAATTGTGACGGGTTGTGGACTTGGTCTCCAGTTAATACCATACTTGCAAGAGAAGTTTTCGTCCAAAATTTGATATCAAAATTGGATCATCGCTCCTAATATTGAGTGCATTTCAAGGACATTGTATTATTTTTTGTGAACGAATTTCCTACGGGAATTAAAGTTACTTTATTGCATTTCTTATGCTAGTATTTGGCACGTTTCCATACTGTTAGGTATGTTTAGTTATTTATTTACATTAGTTTAGGATTCTTGTTATTATTCTTATAGATAGGTTAATAGTTTCTCATCCATACAATCCCCTTCCTAGGGTTTTCCATCCATTTCTATGGTGTGTTTTGTTTGGTTGTTTGCAGTGGCGGAGCTAGATGAAGCGTTGGAGGTATTACATCACCCCCCAAAAAAAATGTTTTATGTATATAAAAAAATTATTTGTAAAAATGTTCTATGTTATTTACCCCAACTAAAGAGATTATATCATGTTTTTTAATGTTTCGAATTTGATAACTATATAGAATATTTATTGATAATTTTTGTATCCTCATATAAAAATTTCTAGCTCCGCGACGGGTTGTTTGTTAGCTCCGCGACGGGTTGTTTGTTATATTTGTTGCTTCTGTTTCATCATAATTACAATAAATGGCATGAGAGCCAAGTTTTTGAACTTGTTAGAGTCATCATTGATTTTCTTGAAAGTCACAAAGGTTTTCGTTGATTTTTGTTAAGCCTAACTTAATTGATTTTCTTCCTAGATCTCCTAAGATCTTAATTGATGATTTTCCTCCGTATACATATAAGCTCTTCCTTGGTTTTTTTTTTCCCAAATACCTAAGCGTTTGGGGGTGCTTGAAATAAATTCTTTTGAGGTGTATATATAATTTTACTAGTGGTGTTATATCACACTCACCGCACTACTACACTGCTATGTCATCTCATAACACTTTTCCACTCACTCCACATACCACATGTTTAATTATTTTCTTTTTCTTTAAGTGAATAAATTATAATTTAATAATTATAATTATATAAAATTTATATAAAGAAAATACTTATTAATTAAAAAAATTACACACTACATTAAAAACCTAAATTTAAAAACATACTCAATATATATATATATATATATATATATATATATATATATATATATATATATATATATATATATATATATATATATATATATATATATAATCTAATCGTCGTTACTAGCCACGTCGTCATAATCATCGCCTGGATCTCCTCTAAACATTTCCGACTCGTCATCAGTAGAGTTGAACCAAGGCCGGCTCTATGTAGATGTTTTTAAGTTAGGGCTTAGGGCCCTCAAATCAAAGGGGCCCCATATTTTTCAAAATCCAAAAGTTTATTCCATTAAAAAAATCAAATCCGGTAACCACAAGATAAATTTGAAAATCAAAAGAAAAATTAGGGTTTGGAATCTGCTCATAGGGACGGATATCCCAAAAGAAAAAAAAGAAGTTGAAAAAAGAAAAAAAATCAAAAAATGTACACTGCGTACAGAATAAGCAGGGGTTGCCGGTATCACTGCAGAAACCCAAAGAGAACCGTCCCCGTCTGCTCACGTACGCTGCGCGTACTCCTTGATACGTTGTGCGTACGTGCATGCATCCCCCACATCCAATGCTCCTCTACGCACCGTGTACACCAAGGCTACGTCCAATGTACGTGTTATGGGTAGCCCAAATCTCCGGCCTACTCACTAATGGTCCATTCAAATAGTCCTTCTATTAACACTTAGCCCAACAATTAAAATAAGAAATATTAAATAATTATTACTTCAAGTGACGGTCGTTACAACTACAACGGTACAATTTTTTATTGAGGAGAAACTTTTCTGATCTCCATTCACCCACTGCTGAAAATATGGAAATCAATTTTTGATGTCGTCAAAAATGCGTAAAAATAATTCTTTCCTCATCCGGAATCGAGGTCTGAATTTTATGGCATACATTACATCGTCGACAAAGTTGTCATTAACAAGTTGGTTGTGCACGCGACTTCACGATTTCTTCGTAAAGGAGGATTTCTAAGTTTTGCTTGTGAACTTTCGACTTCATTTTCTTGTAGATATGTTAATGTTGTTCGCATAAGATCTCTGATAAACCCCGCTTCCCGCAACGCTAATGTACCCTATGAAGGGGACGATGACGATGACGATGAAGACATCTTTAAACAAAAAAGTTGTATATAGAGTTTTTGGTGTTTTTTTGTTGCGCTGTAAAATAAGAAGTTAATGGTAATATTTATAGTGATGTTTTTTTTTTTTAATAAAAAAAAAAAGAAAAAAAAAAATAGCCGTTGAAGGCTAGACCGTCAAAAAAGAGGGCAAAGGGTGTTCTATACTTGCTTCCTGCGGTATCTTCAACGCAATCTCTTGGTGGGGGTCAGAGCTGTGTTCACCGCACACTGCGGTGCCAATTCAGCGACCACAGTGTGCGCTAAGGGTGCACCAACCAGCCTTAGGAGAAACAAATCAAGCGTTGTGAGTTTGGTTTATCAAATCCATCTACAAAGAAGCCGATTATTTTGGCCATTCCATGATTTGGGGGCTTATTTAATGGCCAATAGATTAATATTGTTCTAGCTTCTTACAACTTCAAGTCGAGGGTTGGACTTAAATGTGTTCTGTTTCTTTAAAGGTGAGGAATGGCCAAGGGAAAAAAAAACAAAATTTAAGGAGGATACTTGGTTGGGAGACATTTTTTTTTCTCTAGAGGGAAATAAGGATTGTTTGGTTCAAGATCATCTCCCTTTGCCTTTTATATTTCGTTTTTACATTGAAACCCAATGCCTGGGTTGAAGAGGAACAATGGTAAGGGTGGTCGAGTTTTCTCAATTCACTTATCATATGGATATTATTCTGCCGATTTAATCGGTTATTAGTTTATTCGGTCCGGTTTACTCACTTTTTCACTTCCAAAATATTAACCAAAACTAAAACAAAGAAGGTTTGGTTTATTCAATTTTCGGTTAATTGGTTTGGATGATTTTTTCTTTTCTTTCGGTTAAATCTAAATCAACAAGAGTCACGATTTCAAGTTTATATTTATAAGAAACATGGATAAAAAGGTGAAACTTATTATTTGGTTATTAGACAATTTTGGTACAATTTAATGTCATGAGTGATGACAAGTTTTAATGACTTTAAATGTTATATATTGATATAGTGTAAATTACAATTAATGAGAAAAATGTTTTATGGAAAAATGTCATGAATTCCTTCATTATAAGTATTGAAATTTTGTTGCAAAAGAAATCGAGAAGAAAATTGTTTCATTTGTGTTATTTCTATTATTTTAGGAGATTAGTAATAAAACACACTCATTTTAACCTCAAAAACTGGGAAATCTCAAATTTGTAAAGAATATCGACCCTTTTGAAGATGACTTCAATGATTATGTTTCTTCAAATAAAATCAAATTATCAATGAGAACACTTATTACTTAAGACATGATGTCATGATCCAGCAAATACGTTACTTTTTTCTTTGAACGATTTTTTATTTTTATTTTAACTGAAATAGTTAATTTCATTCTGATACCAAACAATTTCATATTTATGTACAAAGCAACTTTTTACAAGAATTAATGCTTAATGTAAATATGATACAAAAATTACTTTATATCACCCATCCTCAACCTTTATCCATGCATCGAGTCCCAAAACCATGCAAAGCTCTATCATAACAATCGCCATGAAGTCAATGGACATGAACTAGACGCAGATCTGACGATGATTGTGGAAGATCGTTCTCTTCATCCGAGTGGAAAAACCGATGTTCCTAGCAAACATAATGATTGTTTAAATTTTATAAAAAATTTAGAGATCAAATACGAAAAGGAAAAAAAAAATCCATTTTAAACTGTTAACCTCTAGTTGGAGGCCACGTTGCACGACAATAAAAGCTCTAAACATTATATAAATTGGCAAAATAACGCCGATACACCTTAACATAATCAACTACACCAACAATAAAAAATAATAAACAATTCAAAAAATAAAAAATAAACAACAAATTTTATAAATAAAAAAAAAGTGTACAAATCCATTTTACCGTGAACATCGTAATCGTGTATCCTCCGGTACCATTGATAATAATCGGTAGAGTATGACGTAACACGAGAAGTGTCATAAACTGCAAAAAAACACGACATGACAAAACAGAATAAGACAGACACGTATTGAATTTGACATGTATTAAACTGGAACTGAAACTGATATCCTATATTTCAACCTAGAAGGTGGGACAAGACTCGCTCTTGATCTCCTCTTTGTACAAAAGACGTAAACGCCCTCGTCGTCATCATTATCGAAAATAGTCATAGAAAGCTTGTCCAGTCTACTGTAACAAATACAGTCCTAGATGACAAATACAAAGTAAATTACCATTATTGCAATTACACGGCAACATGTCAAGCTTCCGGGACTAGGGGCAATATAGTCATCGAAGTCCGGTTCTTCATGACCGGAAGAAACCATGGTTGAAAATTGAAGATTGTAAAGATCCCTTCGTGAAATCTCCCAATTGCCCCTAGTTTAACATAACGAACGAATTGATTTTTATTTTTTAACAAAATTGTGTGTAAAAAAAAAAAGATTTATTGACTTTAAACGACACCTGAAATTCATTGGATCTCCATCACAATGAAGTGACGGAGGTGGTGATGTATAATCGGGCTTGAATGGCTGAAAAACTCGAAGAAAAACAAAAGAACTTTACTTTTATACTCATAATAGCAATGTATTTTGAATCGAAATTCTAAAGTGGATTAATGACTAAAATGCCCTTTACCTCGAGGCAAATCTCACACGTGGTGTTCCCCTTCTCGTTACACCACAGTTGTACACATCTACGGTGGGCAAACTATAAATTGACACAAAGTTTTCTAAATTTGGCATGATTTTGAAGAGTTATTAAAGAAAAGATAAATCTAATCATAGATGTTTAAAAGTAGTTTTTTGAAGTTTAATTATGAAGATTAAGAAGAGGAAACCTTCAAGCTGCCACGACATGCACATGGTGTCTCCATGTTGGAGTCTTCATCGTCATCATGACAAATCCTGCATTCCATCAATTTCTTTGGCTTTGATTCAAAAGTGAGATCCATCCTATGAGAAGAAACATCAGTAACCATTTCTTCATTTACTGAATCCGTGGAAATAACAGCTTCAAGAGAGGATTCAGTGAGCAAACGATCAACCAGCAAGATAAAATGATCCTTCATCTTCAACAGTTTTTTTTAGATAAAAACAAGATTCTTTTGAGAAAAAGTTTAAAGATTCGAAAACGTACAATCCTAGGAAACCCCTTTGGAAATCGTTCCTCTTTCACTATTAAATCTGTTCGTTTCAAATCGAAAAATTAATTTCCGAGCATTTGCGTTACAGATTAATCACAATCAGAGAAAGAAAAGTTCAAAGATCTGAAAACGTACAATTCTAGCAAACCCCCTTTGCAAGTGTTCCTCTTTTCCTATAAATCTGTTGGTTAAATAGAAAACGAGAAAAATCATCAAACATTGTTCATCAATCGGTGAAAATTAGAATTAAGAATCAGGGAGATTGAGAAAGGCAAATTGAAATTGAAGAATTTATTGAAATAGCACCTGGATATATGAATAAACAGGGTAAAATTAGAATGAGAAGAATGAGATAGAGAAAGCTTACAAGGATATAAATGCGATAATTCCTGCAAAAGGATGAAGATGAAGCAAATCAAGTTGTATTGTGCAATCCTTTCCTTGTCCATCTATTTGGGTTTCTTGAGAATTGCAGCTTGGGATTGAAGCAATCGATTGAGTGGCTTGTTACAGCAATGTTGTTCTTCTAATCGATTGCATTTTCATTTTTAATTGTGTGTTAATCAAAGAACAACAAAACCCTAATCTCCCTCGTCTTGATTTCTTATATTCATTGCTGGTGGGAATGTGAATTTCAATGGCGATGAGAAGCGGGTTTTCTCTACCATCATCATCGCCATTATCCCACGTTCATTCATTCAGTTTCCCGTTAGAAAATTGGTCCCTCCGCTTTTGTATCACGCATGTAGAATGTTATAATTTATGTTCATCAATCGGTGAAAATTACAATCTACAATCAATTTTGTTACTGAGTATATTATTTTTAATGGTAATTATATTTGTTATATTGAATTTATATATTAACAAATAGAAGTTATAAGAGATTTTGATTATTTTAAATTTATAAATTATAAAGAGAAAAATCAAAAATAAAGTTTTCTACTAATCATTTTCTAAGACTTATGGGTATGAGCAACGGGAAGCACGTTATACCCATGTGACAGCCTAATAACGGCGCCATAACGGGAGGAACACCAGCCTTCCTTGGCCGTTATTAGGTGTTATGTGATAACATGTTATGAGGAACATGGGAGGTAATGCCATTTTTTACAAATCTTTTTCTTCGAATGGTCATAATTTTGACCGTTTAAAAACCGGATATTTGTCTAGCATATCTGGGTGTGGCATCCCCTTTGGTCTATTTCAACCGGATAACTGTCTAGCATATATGGGTATTGGTCTCCCCTTCGGTTTATTTCAACCAGATATTAATGACTATTTCACCCCTACCACTACCACATAGAATCATAGTATACTGGCACATAGAACATAATAGATAGTGGCACACCAGACAATTATCACACAGACAATCATCTAACTACAAGCTCCTACTAGTGGGTCGGCATTGTGACCTTAGACCCACTTCTACTGGAAGGTAATTCACCTCTAAAAGTAGAGTGTCGAATCTCACTAAAAGTAATCTCTAACAACTGCTTCGATGACTCCCGGCTATCATAATTACATTAACACTCAATCAGAATCTATAACAATACTTAAGGTAAACTGACCATTTTACCCCTTTGGCCTAATTTGAACCATTCATAAGGCCCAATTCTAACTTATTAAACCCAGCCCACCCATGGCCCATCAAAGGCTCCCTAAGGGCCCAATTTTCTAAATTGGGCCCAACCCTTCAAATGGACCTTTTCACAAGCCCAATAAGTCCTCAGCCCAAAACGAATAATCTCGAGTGGCCCAATATGGCCCAAAAGGCCTAATACTTCTAATTCCAAATCCACAAGCCCAAAACTATACTCCACAGTGGGCCACGAGGCCTAATAGTCTAGGCCCAGCACGCTAAGGCCCCAAAAGCCCAAGGTAGCCACTCTGCATGTGTACTCGCGGTGTACCTAGCACGTACGCTGGCCTTGGGCGCAAACGGGAAGTTGATCCAGTACGCGCATCGTACCAGGGTGTACGCTTAACATACTGGCCAGCTTTTCGAGACTTCATTTGTGACTTAATCTATTAAGTCTTCACGTCAAAAATGTAGGTCCAGGTCCTTTAAGACCTCCTAATCCATAAAGTCACAAACTTTATGTGTTTGCATGCATGGTTGGGGGCAAAACATGATTTTGGTCCTTTAACAAGCTTTATGACCATCAAACACTTGCATGATTGTGGATTAACCATCAAGGTCTGATTTTTATGACTCTTTGTGCCTCTAAGAGCCCAAAAGGATAGCTCTTATGGTCTGAAATCATCAAGATGCAAGAAGCTTCAACAATGGAGTCCAAAAGTGACATTAAACACTCCTATATACAAATCTAAGCATGCAATTGTCAAGTTTGGAACTTGATACCTCAAAAGAGTCAGAAATGATGCCAATATCCTAGATCTACAAGCTCCTCTTGAATCCTTGCCACTTCCTCAACCTCCTTTTCTTCTAAGAACACCAAATCACACAAAGAAGCTCTCAAATGGCAAACATACACAAGAGTGGGTTAGGGTTTTCGAGGTAGCTGCTTAAGGGTGATAGGGAGGCTAGTCCAAGGACATAAGGTCCTTTAAATAGGGATCAAACCCTAAAATTTAGGGTTTAGGACCTGCGCGCGTACGCTACGGGTGTACGTGCATGGCCTCCCCGCCCAAATATCTTGAGTACGCTGAGCCTACCTGGCATGGTATGCCCCGCGTAATGCCATTCTCAGCCCAATTCTTGAAGCCCAATTATCCTGGCCCAAACCAAAACAACCCATTATTCAATAAGATAAGTAATATTAATACCTGGTAAATCCCGGATGTTACATACAAGGCTCAGAATAGTCATCAAATTAAAATACTTAGTGTATTTAGAAGGCTCATAATAGCCATCAAATTAAAATACTTAGTGTATTCACAAGGCTAAAAACAAGCCACATTATACCCAATACATTGGGATGATTTACATCGGTATCTAACACTCATGTAATTATAACAATCGGCGTATCGCCTGCGGTCGTCGACTAAAAGCAATCGCCCATCACTACATTGCAGTCTTACGCTTGAATAACAACAATAACAGGAGTTCAAAACAAAACATTGTACACAAGATACAACAGATTGCAAGCAAAAACAACAACAATGAGTGTAAGCAAACACCATTCATACTACCAAACACTGAAGAGTTATTACAAACAAGGCCAAGAATGCCACCACTACCAAACACTATCAAACCATGTAACAACAAGTAACAAAAGCTTCATATATATTACTTTCACACACGAGGGGAAGTACACAGTATGAAAGTACCTTAAGAATCAACTGGGTCGTCACCACCATCGCCATTTCCTTCCACCACCGTGCCATCATCAGCACCACAATCACCACCATTGTCGCAGCCACTATCGTTGTTGCCACTGACATCCCCACCAGATCCCTCAATTAGCATGTCGTCAGGAACTTCATCAACCTCATACAGAGAACAAAGCTGTTGCATAACCTGTTGGATTAGTGTCTAAGTCCATAACTATTTTGGTATGTACTTGACCCGATGGTGCATGGTCCTTTTGGGTTGCCTTCACCAAAGCAACTTGATAGGATGAATTATGGAGAGTAAGGATTAAATATGATTTATTAATGTATTATGAGAATAATATATTAAAGGAGAAATCATATTGTTTAATTAATATTAGTCAATAATTAATTGGTAATTAGTTTTGTGACTAAAAGAGATTAATTAAACTTAAGGGACTGGAATTGTAATTATAAGATAATTGCAATTTGGGCCATGGATTGCCTTGTATTAAGGGATGGACGAATTCTAATGGGAAACCCATAAGGAAATCGTCCATGGGCTTAATTAAAGGAGTCTATGGGTTGCTTAGGGCTTAAGCATCCAAATTAGGGTTTCCTTGTTAGATAACCCTAATAGCCCAACTATATAAAGACCCCTTAAGGCTCAAAAACGTGGTTAATGTTCTTGTAAGGGTTTACACACGTTTTTGGCAGCCTCCATCCTCTCTCCTCTTCATCCTCTTTCTTATGGTGTTTGTGAACCATTAGAGGAGTGACACTTGTGACTCTAAGCCTTCCAAAGTCAATTCAAGGAGGAATTGGGATTGTTATTGCTACATAACAATCAAGGTATGATCTTAAACCTAATTACATGTTAATATGATTACTTGTATGCTAGAATTAGGGTTTATAGTCTTGGATAACTTGCATGTACAATAGAGAAACCTAGATCCAAGCATTAGGGTTTGTATGAGCACATAGGATGTCTTATGACCAAAACCCATCAGTGGTATCAGAGCCTAGCTTGGTTTCAATTGTATTGATGCTTTGTATAACTGGAAAATTCGATTTTTTGGATTGTGGAGGTTGGACTCGCCGAGTCCATGGCTGAACTCGCCGAGTCCATGCAGACTCGACGAGTCCATGCCTGACTCGACGAGTCAACTCGTCAGATAATGCTTATCTCGGGATTTCTTGCTGTTTTTGCATATGGATAGTTACCTTATCATGTTAGATCAATATAAATCCGATTTTATGATATATATGACTATATTCTTGATCTAATTAAAGATAATTATCAATTAACAAGATAATTGTTTCCTTATAAGATAATTGATTAATTATTTTGAGTAAATTGATAAATTGTTTTGCAAGAAATCATTAAATAAATCAAATATGGATAATTATGTGATTAAATGTTAATTTAAAATTATTTGTTATTTGATCCTTGTTGTTATGAAAGGTTTCATATTTTCCCCTTTAGGTTTTATAGTTTAAATTTGAACCCAAAAGTTTTGGAGTTTTGAAATTTAAATAGTTAAAACCCTAATGTTTTGAAAAAGTTTCAAAACTTGCCCTCAAGTTTTGGAATTTAAAAGTTGATTAAAAGTTTAATTAGAATGTTAAATTCTAAAACCCTAGTAATGTTTTGAAAAGTTCAAATCACACCCTTATGGTTTTATTAATTAATTAAGGAGTATAATTAAAAGAGATTTAATAAATCCATAAAGGTTTAGGTTAACCATTTAATTGAATTAAAAGTGTAATTGTTAAAGTTAACCATATAGTATTTTAAAAGTATAAAATACACCCTATACTATATATAACATTAAAAGTCTAACATTATATATATGTATGAGTAAAAGTCAGTCTTACCGTTAGTAGGCCTCATTCACGAAGCTGGTCTATAAGGGGTGTTTAAGGAAATTGCCTATAAAATGGCGATTGAATGGGTATCCACTCTTACCCACCGCACTCTTGACTAGTGGAGGGTCGTTAGCCGAACGGGTAGGATAGGACGAAACCTTCCATTATAAGTATAATGAAATACAAAGTAACTAAATGTTTTTCAAATTCCCAATCTTAGTTACTTAGGCAAAAGTGAATTGATGCAA